ATGACCCAGGCCAGGAGATATCTGGTCATTTGGGGTTCAGGACACCCTCACCCCACCTGCTCTCCATAGTGGCTGGGAGTAACACACCCTGATTTCAGCAGGAAATGGCCACACAGAGAGCAATTTCTTAAACAATAGGACAGAGGGAGTCTCTTTCCGCACAACGCTGCTTTGAGAGAGTTGATTTGGCAGAGTCCATCTGAGGTAGGGAAACAGCATGTCAGTGAGGTATGCAGAGGAGGCCACACCTAGCTACCCTTCAAAGCTGATGGTTTCAGAGTACAGAGCAAGGCTTCGGAGTGGACACGGGTGGCTGGAAGCAAAGAAAGAGAACTGATGCTGGAGAGTGGAAATTAGAAAGTTTCTAGAAGAGGCTGAGCTCCCAGGAGAAGGGCTCTGTCACAGTTTAACTATGGAGTGTCCCCAGACTCGTGTCCGGGGCTTACCATGTGGGTAAGGCTGGGAGGGGGCCTTTGGGAAGGCAATCGGATAGGGGGATTGATCCACTAATGAGCTGGTCCATCGCTGGTGGGCAGCAGAGCCTGGATGTGGGCACTGGGGATGACCTGGAAGGCAGATTCCTGTCCCTGGCTGCCATAAGTTGAGCATCTTACCTCTGCCAGGCCCTTCTGCCATAGACAGAATCCTCTAATAAAACCGTGAGCCAAATTAAACCTCTCCTCTTTTTTTGGTACCAGGAATCTAACTCAGGACCTTGCACTTGCCATGTAGGCATAGCACTGCTGAGCCACATCCCCAGTCCAACCTCAATCAACTGTTTTATGCTGCAAACGTCAGGTGTTTTGCCCCAGTGACAGAAAGGTGGCTAATAAAGGGTTCTACCACTTCCTCCTCCAAAGATCAAGCGAGACTAATAAATACTGTCCACTGTGATAAATAAAGTAAACCAAGATCACTAGGTTCTTTTCAGAAATGTCAGTCCATGTATCCCAAGGCTGCCGGAGACTGAATAAGGAAATCTATCTTATTCTGAATTTTAGTATGGATCTTACTTGTGCAGGTACAGGCAGGGGCCTGAGAACCTTGGTGAGAGTAAACCATCTGAGCAGGTTCTTGGCGAATGCAGTTCTCTGCCCAAGCTGGTGATCAAGGTAGACCACAGGCTGTGGCAATGTGCCTGCCTCGCAAGCACACAAGGTCCTGAGTTCAAAAAAAAGGACCATGGGGGCAGCTTAGATTGTGCCTTCTGGAAAGAGTGCCCTGGAGGGTGAGGGGTCTATAACTGTACAGGGAACGGGGAAGGGGATGTTGCCAGATCCTCTGCCATGGGCACTGGCCTCCTGGGAGCCACCACAGCACAAAGCAATAGAATAAAGACAGGAAACTAGTTTTAGAGTGAGGCTGAGTCTTGGGGCACGATCGGTGCTGCTGATGGCAGCAAAGACAAGAGCCCCCAAACACATCTAGTATTTACTGAATACAGTCGTGGGAAGGGATAGAGACAGTAAGCTTTGAAGGCACCTAGTGAAATATGGCCAAACTCTTAGCATAATAGTACCAGGCGGGGCTGCTAGGGAGTAAGCACTGCTTACCTTGTTTGGATAGAACAAACTGGGACCGGGTACAATGAGCAAGCAACCCGGCAGGTCAGTGAGAAGCCACAATTCAAGGAAAAGGATTTTAACCGGGGTCATGCTGACCTCAGCTGCATGTGATTCAGCAGAGCCCTGCCACTTCGCAGACCAGGGCATAGGTTTCCATGGCAGCCACTGAGGGAAGGGCTATACTCACCCAACTACCATCTGGCATGCCCATTTGAGTCACATAGAGCTTTGGTCTGATTCTTGATATAAAGCAATACAGCTGAGGGTCGGGGAATTAGTTCAGTGGCGCCATGCCTTCCTCACAGGTGCAAGGTCTTGCATTCACTCTCCAGTACCGAAAAAATATATAGCTGGATTACAAAAAGCAAGAAGGAGGTGCCACTCATAGTCTGGTAGTTCTGGGCAGGGATGTCTGCTATGTAACTGCATCTCAGTTCCATTACTGTGAAAGCCATGTCATCCTGGGTAAGCTACAAACCCTTCACCTACCTCCTAAATTCCTTCGGAACGAAATTGGGAAACTGAAAGTGTCCTGGTCATTTCTCTCCTGAAGGTATTTCCCCTCCCCTCCATAATAAGAATTTGCCACACAATGCCCCCAGCAGCTTTACTCTAAGTGCTCAAATGTTTATCTGTTAATTCCAAGATGAGCAAAGGGTAGATAACAGAATGCTGCTCAGCAATAAACACACACACACACACACACACACACACACACACACACACACACCATTGTGTATGAATCACAAAATAATTAGGCTGAATATTAAAAAGTCATTCAAAAAACAGTGTGTATTAAATTATTCCATCTATAAAAGTTCTCAAAAAATGCCAACTAATCTATGGCACCAGAAATCTGGTGGATCAGTAGTGGCCTGGAGGCCAAGGTTGGGAAGAGCAAGAGGAGAGATGGGTTACAGGGGACAGAAAATTCTTGGGGTGATAAATATGTTCCTTTGCCTGACAGTGAGGAGGACCCACATGGCAGACATCTCATCTACCAACACTCACCCAACTGCACACCTTGAGTGGGAACTCTCAATTATATCTCAGTGAACGTATGTCAGAAAGTATATGAAGTAACCAGGCATGGTAGCACACAGTGGTAATTATAGCACTCAGGAGGATGAGGCAGGAGGATCACCACTAGTTCAAGACCAGCATAGGGCGACATAATGAGTTCAAGGACAGTCTGAACAAAATAGCAAGACCCTGTCTCAAAAATAAAGCCAGGTGTGGTGGCACACACCTGTAATCCCAGCACTCGGGAGGCTGAGGCAGGAGGATTGCTGTGAGTTCAAGACCAGTCTGGGCTACATAGTGAGTTCCAGGTCAGTCTCAACTACATAGTGAGACCCTGTCTCAA